CCGAGGCAGCACTTGTGGCGAACTATGTACCCGGCTGATGTTGTTGCGCCCTGTTTCCCTCCCTGCTGTATGCTACACTCCTGTATGTATGTCCTTTGTATTGCCTTCGGCCTCTGTGCTGTGTTTCTTTTTTTCCTTTTTTCATGACCTCCCTGCCTACTCTGCTGTGTTGGGTACCTTGATCTCGCCTTTGCTGTTGCTTTTGTTTTTGTACATCTGGCTGTCTGCCCATCTGCCGCCTCTTTGTCCTGTTTGCTCCGTTACTCCCATGCCCTGGTGCGTAGTGCCTGGTGCTGGTACGTTACCCTTTGATTTTTTCTTTCGGAGGGTGTGGGAAGCGTCCTCCTCATTTTTGTTTTTGTTTTTTTGGATCGGTTTCCGAGGGCTCTTTTCTCGAACGGTCGGTGCGGTAGCTGCTCTTTTCTTTCTACCATTTTGTTTCCTTTTTCCGAGTGGTTTGTACCCTATTTTTGTTTTGATTCCCCGCGGCGTCGTATGTGCCGGTTTTTGAGACCACGGGCTCCCCATTTTTTGTGGACTAAATTTATGGAGCTAATGTGAGAAACAACAACAACAACAGGCCCTGTTAAACCAGTACCCACACACATACCCGACCCGTGAACGCACCTGGAACACAACGCTAAGTACCGTGTACCCCGCAACCGCGGTTCGCAAGGCCCGCAGGTTGGCCGCGTGCGCCGCTGCCCTCGGACACGCTCGAACGGGCGGCGGGGTCGCCATGGCAGAAGCCACACTAGAAGCCGGCACCTTGCCTCCGACGAAGCTAGGGATGGTGTTGTAAATAGCGTACCTGGGCCGTGTAAAGGCATGCATACAGGTACATGCGTAAGCAAGACATGGGGATAGCTGATAAACGAAAATCCGTCAAGGAGCCGAGCAGAGATGGATGGAGGGTGGCCGCGCACGCGCTACTGCATGCGCCAAGCACAAGACTGCTTGACACGCTCTCTTATGTTATACAACCGAATGGATGAGCACGCCGTGAGCACCATGCAGCCTGTCTGTGGACCCATCAGGTGGCGGCCCAGGTCTCGAACGTCAAGACAACAGCAGTCGGCAACTACAACGGCAACAACAACAGACAGACAATCGAACCAGCGACGAGGAAGACGAGCCTGCTGCTGAAAGGTCGTGGTGGTGAAGTTATTCGGGTCCTTCCCCTGAACAGCGTTGGACGCACGGGCCGCACAGCCCGTGTGTTCGACGCTGCACAAGGGAACGAGATCGAAAAAGTACCACGACGACCGCTCAGCAGCAGGCTCGTCTTCCTCGTCTTTCGTATGATTATTGGTGTTGTTGCTGTTGTAGATTCCGTTCCTGTTGCCGTTGTTGTTGTTTTTTGTTGTTGTTGTTGGTGGTGGTTTTTGTGTTGTTATTGCTGCTGCTGCTGTTAGTTGTGGTGTTCCAGATGCTGCGTGAAACGCTCTTCACATCAATTTTAAGCTCCATCTGTTTTCAAGTACGCATACCTGGTGGGAAACTTGAGGTCACCCTTAACGGTAGAGACTGTCGCACCCTCCGCCATGCCCACCACAAACACAAAGCTTGTGGCGAGACCAAGACCTGCCCAGGAAAGCGAATACGGCAGGGACGTGTAGCGTGTAGGTCATACAGCGGTGGGAGCGCCCCCTGCTGTAGATGTCAGTACTCAAAACCCTCTATTCGCGGGACAGGGGAGGTGTGCGGGATATATATACCGCGAAAGTGCGTGTAAAAGCATACATACCAGGAGTGATTGCACAGATCGGAGCGATCGCAAAGAGGCACGAAGAAAAAGCGAGGTGCGAAACGAAAATCACAAGCTTGTTGATTTGATTTGGTTGTCAAACAGGAAGGCTGAGCTGTCGCAGCCCCGTGCGATCGATAACTCTTGCCACACCCTTGCCACACCCCACTCGGCATGGTCGCAGCTGTCGGTTATTGGCACAAGGAGTGTGCGTGACAAGTACCAGTGCCGTTGTTTCCAATGACTACCTGTACTCCGAGTTATTCAGTATCGCACCAATCGGAGGTGGTTGCACAGCAGTGCGGAAAGAAATGTTTGAAGCGCTTGAAGCATACGTGGAATCGTACATTTCACTCGTCGCACTCTTTCGGTGTGTGTGTGGTCGTGTGCATACGCGCGTAAAAAGTTCGTTTGCGGTGTAAAACCTTCGACATTCAATAGCACTTTCGGCGGTGGTGGTCGAGGTCTTGTCCAGTACAAAGAAAGCTTTTCAGTAAATGCGTACCGTATACGCGATGTATCCCTTGCCGTTCAAAAAACGCGACGATACCTACGTTACTGCTTACACGTGCATACGTACCCTACGTTTTTGTGCAACATGCGGAATAGACTACCGAAGTAGACTGCAGTAGTGGTGTGTGCTGAGGATTGACAAGAATGTCCATTGGGCAGCACACTCACGAGCTAAATGGTCCGGCGCATCCTTCCGAATCTCTGCATTCACGTACGGCCGCTGTCTTCGCCACACCTGTAACGCAAGGGGGCCCAGCATATCAACTGCTACTTCGCATGGCTTTTGCTTTGTGTTTACTACCAGTAGAGCAGGGCAGCGTCTGCTGTATCAAGCCGCGACAGTCAGTTTCGAAGCCCCAAAGCAATACTTCCAGTGAACGACAAGATTGTGTCGAGAATGTTAGCAGGGTTCATTAAAATGGACGTCGAGAATGAATGGGATGACCCACACGTGTGCAGCAACTGTGCACGCTTCTATATCACGTTCCAGCAGCAACCACTGCTGTTGTAAACAGAGCATGTGGGAGTCATGTAGTTCGTGGTGATGCAACCTTGATGCAACCTTGCATCAGCCTTACGATACTATTTTGCAGCAAAGATCGTCACCTCAACATCCCGCCATGCCATTGAAACGTGAGGCTTCCTCGGCACCTAGTCTCCTTCGGATCTTCCTCCGCCTCGCAGAAGCAGCTCTGCTAGGCAGGTTGCAACACACGCCCCCTGCCCTGCTGTGCTGCAGAGAGACAGCGCACAGGCAGGCCAGTGGGAGGGTACCAGAAAAAAGACCTAGCGACAAAACATTGTCCCGATCGCGGAGCCCCTCGTGGCTTGCCAGTCTGTTCAGCAGGCATGACACTCTGTCTGTCTTTACAGCGCTTGGATGCCAGGGCAGAGGCCGATGGGATGGACATGTTACTATTCCTGCTGGTGACACCGCTTTTGACTTCCTCGGTTGGAGGCTTCTTTGTCCCCTTGCTTACCACTGGAACCAGCTGTAGCCGTCGAGCTGCTGCTGCTCCCCAAGCAGTGCATCATGAATACGGCAGCTTCAAGTCGTCCCGCCGCTTTGGCAGTAGCAATACGGGCGACGCACCGGCAATCAACGAGAGCCTCGTCGACGCCAACGCCCCTGCCGGAAGCAACCAATCGGATCCCTTTCGGCTGGACAGTCTACCGTTCATGGCGCTCAACGCCAGCTCTGACGCTGCCACCTCCCTCGCGGTGGCGCCTGCAAGTAACTCTGCGAGTGCGTATCAGATAACACGGCCGCGTTGGTACAACAAGGCGGAGGTGGCCATCATCGTCCTGCTCTGCCAGCGCCTAAGGATGATCGACTTAAAGGGTGTCGAGCACATGCTCGATGCGGCACCAAAGTTCGCGAAGGAGGACCCGGTGAGAGAGCCGGTGCGCAGCCTAAAATTGCAAGTACGTCGTCCTTGCATGTTTCGTCATCCACAGCAGTCATCATGCCGGAAGCGCCGTTCCGAAGTACTACTGTGGGCAACATGGCAGCGTTGGAGACTGCTGTGCAGTACAAATGCAGCAGGGCACGATCAACTCCTGGAGTGATGTACCAGCTCTAGCACACGCCCCTAGTCTTGGTAGCAGTGACTGGGCGGCAGGTCGCGGCTTATGTCACCTTTGCATCCATAGACTGCTGTTGTCGGGTCGTCGCATTCGTGTCTACACTCCATTACAGAGGGACGTTTGGCAGCGAGCCCTCTATCTTTCCAAGGCAGCACCAGGGGCCAACTTCCGAACGGTTATCCAACGACATCCCAGGGTGAGACGAGTATTCCGGGTTAAAGATGGTGAGGGATGCTGTGTGTTTGCCCTTGTGTGTTACGTGTGTGCAGTTGTCAGAGTTCGGTTTGGTTTTGGCGTTGTTTCGGTTTGCTCCGACATCGCTTCTGTCTTAGTATGTATAGGCATCGTGTTTAGCGACAGCAGTTGTCGCCCGTGTGCCCTCAGAGGTTCAGATATTTTCAACGACATTCAGGATTCAACCAAGCTTATGCCGCAGAAACATTGTTTGCCTTCTTCCGATGCTATGTCGTGTCCATGATGGTGACTACTACACTAGCCGCTTACCATGGTGTACTTTTGTGATGCAAGTGCTTTAGGTCACAACTTGGCCCACCATTCCGCTTTACGACTTGTCTCACCATTCCGTTTCTCGGCCTCAACGCACAAGTTGGTCGCTCCTCTGGACCCCTCCCCCCTCCCCCCATCACGACCTCCTTCATCGGGCGCTTGTGCATTCCTGCCACTACCGCTGCCACGACTGTCGACAGACCCTTCTCGTCCCTGTTCACAAGATGCAGCATGTCCTCTCGCTTCTCAGAGAGGCTTACCCGGACGCCAACATGGCCAGAGTTGTGGAGCGCATCCCTTCCGTCCTCTCCAGGAACACTACAAGGTGACGGAAGTGGCTTGGTAACTTTGACACACCAGCCTTCGACGTCAACGATGGGGTCGCACACAGTAGTTAGCCGGGTACTAGAATACCTGCACTTGTAGATGCTCTGAAGAAGGATCTTGCTAAAGCTGCTACTGCTTGTAGTATCTGTGTACGCGCGACGCTGGTCTCGTGCTTGAGGTAGATGCAATGCTAGAACTGTGAAGAGTGGGTTCATGCGCTAGAACCAATGTATGCGATCACAATCTCCCCCAACAAGATAGCAGAGGGGGCGGGACGGAGAGAGAGAGAGAGA